TGGGCCGGGTGGCTGGCCTGCCCCACCCTTCCTGGGCTCTGGCTGGTTCCCTGCCTCTGCCGGGGAGTGTGACGGGCTCCTCTCCCCCAGGCTCTCTGAGCGGCGCGGAGAAGGCTGACGTGAAGATGGCTGCTATCTCGGAGCACCTGGGCCTCAGCTGGGCTGGTGAGTCTGTTCCGCGGGGCACAGGGCCTGCTCTCGGCTGCTCGGAGAGGAGGTTTTGCTCGTGCTGTGCCCAGTGCCATGCAGGGAGGGATGCCGTGAGCCCAGCTCACGCAGAGGGTTCGGTGGCTGGGCTGGTGGCAGCTGTGGGTTCGTGCTGGGACTGGTCTGGAGGCTGAGCCGTCCCAGCCGCCTGCTTCTGTGTGACTCCAGCGTCAGCACACAGGTGTCTGCCCTAGGAGCAGTGGGAGCAGCCTGCTCTGTCTGCCTGACGGTGGGGCTGGGAAAGAGAGCACAGTCCCAGCCAGAGTACATACCCTGCCCATGAGCACGTCTATGAACCGTCCCACCGCTCATCTCCCCCTGCTGGTGCACCAGCCCCTTGCACGTCCCTGCATGCCGGTGCACCGCCCTCGCACACATACCTGTGCACGACCTCCAGTGAACCACCACCTCGTGTTCCTGTGCACACTGGTGCTTTGCCTCCTCACACAGATGTGTGCATACGCTGCCACATGCTCACATCCCGGGCATGGATGTACGCCTCTGTGCACTGCCTTCTTCCACACATGCAGGCCCACCCCCTAGCACCCCCATCTCTGGGCCAGCCAGGACAGGATTTTGCCCTGAGCGATGTTTGTATGTTTTCGTGCGCCCTGAAGCAGAGCAGCAAGGCCTGTGGCAGGGACAGGCCTGACACTGCTGGTCGGGTCGCAGCCAGGAGGCTCAGGAACTGGCTTTCCAGCTTCTTCCTCCTCAGAGCAGGATGCGACCCTGCTGCAGGCGGCCGGGCCAAGCCCAGTGGGGCCAGTTTCACATCCCCCACACACCCCACCCACTTCCCTCGAGGGGATGTCAGCAAGTTCTGGGGGCTCGTGGGTGGAGACATGGGCAGGGCTGGACCCGGGGCACCCCAGGGCTATTCGCCTAGAAGATCCTCAAGCAGAGGCAGCTGCGCTCACAGTGCTGGCAGTGGGGGGCTGCCCTCTGCCCTCTTTGCTGCACAGCAGGCGGGGGTGATGCTGTAACAAGGGCACTGCTGAGAGCTCAAATCAAGGCAAGTTGCTCAGGGACAGGGCGGCCACAGCCCAGGACTGGGGGTCCTTCACGGTCAGGCACAAGCCAGTCCCAGTGCACGTCTGTTCGCCCCACTGGCTAACATGAAGTCACCTGAGCAATTCCTTCGGATGCCCCAGCTCTCCTGTGCCACCGCCCATCCCCTCCGTGTAAGGTGGGAGGTTGTGAAAACTAATCTAGGCTCTTTCAGTTCCAAGGATCAGCCGCGTTCCCAGGTCAATTTCCATCTCAGGTCTTATCCAAAAATCGTGAGTGAGAGCATTAGAATTAGAATTATGAAAGGAATCCGATACATACAACAGTTGCCAAGTTCTTGGATCTGACTTGAAGCAGTGATGAAATAGTCTGTTGACTTGTTCAGTCCCTTGGTTAGAAAGCTTTGTTGAAAGCTCCAGTTTGTAGCCAGGGTGGAAGCAGGATTGAAGACAAAATGGAGGGTTTCCGCAGCCTTCTACATCCTCTGCCACCTGGCAGGAATCCCACTGTCCTCGCTGTGGAAAAGCACAGCCACAAGACAGTGTTCAGAGCAGGGATGTGCAAGCGGAACCCTGCCCATGGTTAACCGATGAGCCTGGTCTGAAAGCTGGCTCCCCGTACACAGTGGCTCCGGGAGCTGACTGCCACCCTGTGTGGAACCGCTGAGATAGTGTCTACACTACAGAGTTTTTGCGGAAAAACTTCAATTATGTCCACACTGCAATTGTGTTCTTCCGCAAGAAAACCAAGAGCAGAGGGGTTGTTCCGACATTGGGGAACCTCTTTCTCTGAGGAAGAAGCCTTTTTGCGAGAGCTCTTTCAGAAAAAGGTGCGTGTGGACGGGGAAGAGGGAGTTCTTTTGGAAGAAGAGGAAAAGCACAGGTGCCCTGGTGGCCACTCCGCCCTTAGTAATCACAGCTGAAATGCGAGAGAGCGCCCATTCAGTGGGGACGCCTTCTTTTGGAAAAGCAGATGTCCTTTTCAATGTGCTTTGGCAGTGTGGATGCTCTCTTTTGGAAGAAGATTTTTTTGGAAGATCTCTTCTGGAAAAGCTTCTTCCGAAAGAAGCCTGCAATCTAGACATAGCCTGAGCGGGGTGGGCAGGTACCAGGCTGGCCAAACGCTTCCCTGCTGCTACGCTGAAATCCAGGCCCATAGCCGTAGCGCACTGTGGGCTGTTCATAGACCCCTGGCCTGGCACAGGATGTTTGCGCAGTGATCTGTGTGTTCCCCTTTCCATCCCAGAACACCACCGCTGCCTCACACAGGCTGTGTTTCCTACAGAGCTGGCCCGGGAGCTGCAGTTTGGGGTGGACGATATCAACCGGATCCGGGTGGAGAACCCCAATTCCCTGCTGGAGCAGAGCGTGGCCATGCTCAACCTGTGGGTCAGCCGGGAGGGCAAGAATGCCAAGAGTGAGTCTTTGGCACCTTCTGCCAGGGCGGGGCCCAGCCTGCGCCCCAGGGGTTCCACAGGCTCACCATGCTGCCAGCCCGGGTCTCCAGCAGGCATGTTGGTGGGGGGCTGGGCCAGGGGTGGCTAAGCAGGCCATGGTGGGGGGGCTGAGCCAGGGGGGGGCCAGGGGTGGCTCAGCAGGCCAGGGTGGGGTGGCTGAGCCAGGGTGCTGGGCCAGAGGTGGGGTGGCACGGTGACCCAGGGCGCCTGGCTGGCGAAGGCGGGCATGGCGTGGTGGGGTGGGTGCTGGGCCAAGCCGGAGGCAGCTAGGCAGGGCAGACCAGGGAAGTGAGGGGTGGGACCATCATGTCCTCTCCAGCCTCTCCTTCAAAAGAGGCTTCATGTCAGAGCAGTGGAGTCAGGCCGCCTCCGTGCTTAACCTGTGGCAGACCTGCAGTGCTCCCTCGCACACGCCACGCCACGCCGGGTTGGACATGCCCAGCTGGGCTGCCCTGCCCTGGCCTCCCGCGTGTGGCTGTCCTGTGCGGGGTCCTGCTTGGGCCAACGGGCACCGTGGACTCGTGCCCGCGGCTGTCTGTGCCGGGTCGCAGGGCTGCATGCGTCCCCGTGGCGCCTTTCGTGACACCCCCTGCTCCCCATGGCAGTGGAGAATCTGTACGCGGCCCTGAGGAGCATCGACCGCGGCGAGATTGTCCGCATGATGGAGGGTGCCGGCCGGCCGAGCCACGGCCCAAAGGGCGAGCAGCATTGCGCCGACAAGGACTACTCCCTCTCGCCCTCCCAGATGAATGGTGAGTCGCTGGAACTGCTGGGGACCCGGTGGCCTGCGGGCAAGCCGGAGCCGTGAGTCCCTGGGCAGCGTGGGCAGGACAGTGCTCTGGGTGGGCAGGAGCCAGGCAGACAGAGCAACCCTGCCAGGGCTTGAGCTGCACTGGGCAGGAACGGTCTCACGCCGAGGGCAGGCCTGCCGGTGTCGAAACGTTCCCAGCCTGGCGGAGAGCAGCGGAGGCGAAGCGGCAGAGTGAGCTGTCCAAAGAGGCCCGTCCGAGGTGCGTGCCACTGTGGCTCTCTGGTTGCCACGCTGCAGGTCCACCGTGGCCCACGGGGATGTCTGCACACCAGTGGGGGGTGGCTGTCAATGCTCCCTCTCGTTTTTTCCATCCATGTGTGGCATAAATGTTGTGTGCACAGAGGCATGTGTAGATGTGCATCACCAGTACAGAGCCACGTGGATCTCTGCAGGGCAGCCGCACACGCGCTCAGCTTACCGGGGACACTGGTGGCTGTGCCCGTCTTAGCACTGCTGGAGCTCATGCTCGGAGGGATGTGTAGCCAGCCACGGGGAGCTAAGTGCCCAAGGCTAGGCCCAGCCGGGCTAGAGGAACGTCCTGGAGGCAGCTAGCCCCTCCTGTCGCCTGCGCTACAGCCACGCTCCAGTCCCTGAAATGGAGTGCCCCTAGGTCTGCCACGCTAGGAACCCCTCAGCTCCAGGGTGGACGTACCCGCCCTGCCGGGGCCCGTCAGCCACCAGACCGCACAGCCCTGCAGGCTCAGCCGGGTTGCAGCGTGGTGCTAGTCGCGCCTCTGAGCTCAGAGGCGGAGTGGACGTGCCCTGCCGACCCCACCCAGCTGGCAGAGCTCTACCCTCGGCTGCCAGTCAGGCTCGCACGACTGCTCCTGTGGCCTGACGTGACCCTGGGAGGGGGCCCGAGTCACAGCTAGGAGAACACCCCGCTGGGTCCTGGGGCATGGTCGGGCACTGCAGTCTGTGTAGTGTCCAGGGTCCCCCTGGGCCAGGCAGGGGGTGAGGCTGGGTGCCAGGGGCCTGGGCGGGGCAGCAGGGTCCCCAGGGCGGCTGTGCCCGTGAGCTGGGGGCCAGGGGCCTGGGCGGTGGCAGCAGGGGCCCCTGGGCGGCTGTGCCCGTGAGCTGGGGGCCAGGGGCCTGGGCGGTGGCAGCAGGGGCCCCTGGGCGGCTGTGCCCGTGAGCTGGGGGCCAGGGGCCTGGGCGGTGGCAGCAGGGGCCCCTGGGCGGCTGTGCCCGTGAGCTGGGGGCCAGGGGCCTGGGCGGTGGCAGCAGGGGCCCCTGGGCGGCTGTGCCCGTGAGCTGGGGGCCAGGGGCCTGGGCGGTGGCAGCAGGGGCCCCTGGGCGGCTGTGCCCGTGAGCTGGGGGCCAGGGGCCTGGGCGGTGGCAGCAGGGGCCCCTGGGCGGCTGTGCCCGTGAGCTGGGGGCCAGGGGCCTGGGCGGTGGCAGCAGGGGCCCCTGGGCGGCTGTGCCCGTGAGCTGGGGGCCAGGGGCCTGGGCGGTGGCAGCAGGGGCCCCTGGGCGGCTGTGCCCGTGAGCTGGGGGCCAGGGGCCTGGGCGGTGGCAGCAGGGGCCCCTGGGCGGCTGTGCCCGTGAGCTGGGGGCCAGGGGCCTGGGCGGTGGCAGCAGGGGCCCCTGGGCGGCTGTGCCCGTGAGCTGGGGGCCAGGGGCCTGGGCGGTGGCAGCAGGGGCCCCTGGGCGGCTGTGCCCGTGAGCTGGGGGCCAGGGGCCTGGGCGGTGGCAGCAGGGGCCCCTGGGCGGCTGTGCCCGTGAGCTGGGGGCCAGGGGCCTGGGCGGTGGCAGCAGGGGCCCCTGGGCGGCTGTGCCCGTGAGCTGGGGGCCAGGGGCCTGGGCGGTGGCAGCAGGGGCCCCTGGGCGGCTGTGCCCGTGAGCTGGGGGCCAGGGGCCTGGGCGGTGGCAGCAGGGGCCCCTGGGCGGCTGTGCCCGTGAGCTGGGGGCCAGGGGCCTGGGCGGTGGCAGCAGGGGCCCCTGGGCGGCTGTGCCCGTGAGCTGGGGGCCAGGGGCCTGGGCGGTGGCAGCAGGGGCCCCTGGGCGGCTGTGCCCGTGAGCTGGGGGCCAGGGGCCTGGGCGGTGGCAGCAGGGGCCCCTGGGCGGCTGTGCCCGTGAGCTGGGGGCCAGGGGCCTGGGCGGTGGCAGCAGGGGCCCCTGGGCGGCTGTGCCCGTGAGCTGGGGGCCAGGGGCCTGGGCGGTGGCAGCAGGGGCCCCTGGGCGGCTGTGCCCGTGAGCTGGGGGCCAGGGGCCTGGGCGGTGGCAGCAGGGGCCCCTGGGCGGCTGTGCCCGTGAGCTGGGGGCCAGGGGCCTGGGCGGTGGCAGCAGGGGCCCCTGGGCGGCTGTGCCCGTGAGCTGGGGGCCAGGGGCCTGGGCGGTGGCAGCAGGGGCCCCTGGGCGGCTGTGCCCGTGAGCTGGGGGCCAGGGGCCTGGGCGGTGGCAGCAGGGGCCCCTGGGCGGCTGTGCCCGTGAGCTGGGGGCCAGGGGCCTGGGCGGTGGCAGCAGGGGCCCCTGGGCGGCTGTGCCCGTGAGCTGGGGGCCAGGGGCCTGGGCGGTGGCAGCAGGGGCCCCTGGGCGGCTGTGCCCGTGAGCTGGGGGCCAGGGGCCTGGGCGGTGGCAGCAGGGGCCCCTGGGCGGCTGTGCCCGTGAGCTGGGGGCCAGGGGCCTGGGCGGTGGCAGCAGGGGCCCCTGGGCGGCTGTGCCCGTGAGCTGGGGGCCAGGGGCCTGGGCGGTGGCAGCAGGGGCCCCTGGGCGGCTGTGCCCGTGAGCTGGGGGCCAGGGGCCTGGGCGGTGGCAGCAGGGGCCCCTGGGCGGCTGTGCCCGTGAGCTGGGGGCCAGGGGCCTGGGCGGTGGCAGCAGGGGCCCCTGGGCGGCTGTGCCCGTGAGCTGGGGGCCAGGGGCCTGGGCGGTGGCAGCAGGGGCCCCTGGGCGGCTGTGCCCGTGAGCTGGGGGCCAGGGGCCTGGGCGGTGGCAGCAGGGGCCCCTGGGCGGCTGTGCCCGTGAGCTGGGTGCCAGGGTCCCCAGGGCGGCTGTGCCCGTGAGCCGTGCATGCTGAATGCTCCCCCTTTGTTCTGTCTTCTCTCATTCATGCCACCGAGTGCTGCCGGGTGCAGGCTGCTCCTGTGCTGGTCGCACCCGTCACCCTTCTCCTCTGACCTCATCCCGACCTCTTGTTCTTGCCTCTGCACTGCCTGTCTGCACTGTCTCTGCCTCAGCCACGCCTAGGAGAGCTCCAGCGAGAGCGCGGCCCCGGGCACTGCCCGCTCCATGACTGGGTGTGTCCGCTTGGCCCTGCAGGAGCCTGCCCCGAGTGCCAGGTGTGACGTAGTGGGGGTACTTGCTGGGCTGTGGTGACCCCTGCTGTCTGGAGCAAGACCCAGCAGGGAAAATCTCGCTAGGCAGAGATAAGGCCAAACTTGTCGAACCAGTGGCCAGACACCCCCCATGGAGAGGAACAAAGGAAGGTGAATGCTGCCCTGGACTGGGGGGCAGGGCTGCAAGGGAATTTAGTTGCCCCCCGGGGCTGCTGGGCCGTGCCAAGCCTGGCCTGGCTCACCCGGTGCCCACTCCACGGTGATGCCCGTGCCCAGCACTGAGCCTGGAGCCCTGCCGGATACAAACAACGCCGCTGGGCGCAGGCGGATACAGGCGGAGCTGGAGTCGGGCCTCCCGCGGGGGGGGGCTGTCACCCTGCCGCCGGCTGTCGCGGAATTCCCCTGAAGAGCCCCCAGGGTGTGTGTGGGCAGCAGAACCACAGGGGCCCTGCAGGCTGAGGGTGCAGGGGCCATGTTCTCTGGGCTGGGTGGCTCTGGGGAGCTGAGAGGTGGGGATGGGGCAGTCCCGGTGCTGGAGCTGTTGTGGACCGGCCAGTCCCCTGGGTTGGGCCCTGCTGCAGGGGAAGGGTGGCTCTGTGCTGCAGCCACGTGGCCGGGGCCCTGGCTCCAGGGAGAGCTGGGCGCAGACAGGTTGAGAGAGGGCCCAGAGCTCCGGGGTAGGGGTGCCTAGTAATGGGACCGGTCATCCAGGCTGCCCCACGCACTCAGCCACTAGATGCCAGGCCCTGGCAGTGCTCGCAGCAGCAGGGACCTGGGTGGGAGACATGCGCCCCAGTGCACCCCACTGCCCAGCCACATCTCCCACCTGGGGCTCAGCAAGGGCTGCTGCTGGGGCATTATGTCCCTGTGCACCCAGCTCCCCCATGTGCAGCTGCTGCTGGTACTGCCTCCACCCTCCGCGCTGCACCGCCCCGTAGGGCAGGAGGGTCAGAACTGGGGTAGGGAGCCCAGGGTGGGCTAGCAGGGGTTGGGGGCCCTGGCAGGGTTGTGGGGGGCAGCTGGCTCAGCACCAGGCTCTGGAGGAGTAAAACATAAGCAGGTGCCCCCAATCCTCCCGGGAAGCCGGCTGGAGGCAGCTCCCCCTGCCGTGGGGTCCTGTCCCATTCTACGGGGAGCTAACACTTATCCAACTCATGGGACCCTCCCTGGTGCAGGTGCTGCCCAAGGCACCCACCTGCCCTCACTGCCGGGTGCCCAGGTTTCCTCAGGTGGCCTGTGCTCCCCTCTCAGACCCTCCTGCTGGGGCACCCAGAGCTGCTAGGGGAGCAGCATAGGGTCTGGGGCGGGTGCTCTCCTGCCCCTAAAAGGGCTCCCCTGAACCACTGCACCCTGGAGGGCCCCATGTTGGGCCTGTAACATAACAGTTTGTGGGGGCTCTGTGGAGAGGGGCAAATCAGGGCAAATTGCTTGGAGACTGGGCTACTTACACGGCACTGCACTATAAGGCACCAGACCAGTCACACAGCACGTCTGTGAGCCACACCTGCCAGTGAGCAGTCACACACGCACTCCCCTTAGACACTCCAGTTTGACCTGTGCCACAACCAGCCCGCTCCTTATGCAGGTGGGAGGTTCTAAACCCAATCTCACCAAATCCAAACGGGTTCTCCCAGTCCTGAAAGACCAGCCACAGCCCCAGGCCAGTTTGTGCCTCGGATCTTACCCACATGAGCACACTGGGCCAGTCCTTTAGCATCTAACTTCTAAAGGGGTATTAATGAAAGAAACAAAAGGTTGAGAATAACCTGGTTAAAGGAAACAAAATTACACAGTCCTTGGGGCAGCGATGGCTTGATCTGCTGTCTCCGGAACATACCCTTAGTTCGGCCGGGCCATGCGCCCTTCCAGGCTCGGTTCATGGCTGAGATGCTTCTGAAGGGAGGAGCTGGAGTGAAGACAAATGGAGGAGCCCCCAGGGACCCTTATAGCCCCTTGCCCATGTGGAGGGAATCCCGTTGTTCTCACTGTGTAAAAGAGCCTCCTAAAATGGAGTTTGTCACGTGGCCAGTCCCCTGCCTGTGCCTGACTCAGGCCTTAGCAGCCCTCGCGCACGTGCTGGTCTGCAGGGCCACAGCAAAGTCCCTCAGATGTGGATTGGCACCACTTAAGGCCCCTTGTCAGGCGAGTACTCGGATTCACTGAGTAGCCGCCCTTCCACAGCGGGGGGGCAATCCTGTTGCTCTCTCCCAGAAGCAAACACTTGGAATACCAGCACAGAGCCAACACGTGTAACTCAGATACAGAAACCATATCAACAGAACAACAAACCATCTGCTTTCAGTAGACACCCCACTTGGCCCACTCTGGGGCAAGCACACACCAGGGGCAGCAGCGTTCTGTGTGTTCACCTTGCAACTCCAATGATGTCGCAGGGAGCTGGGGCAGCGTGGGCCTGTCCTGTCCCCTCCCTGCTGTGCGGAGCGGCTGCTGGAGCTGTCGCCTCTGTCTGCCCTGCAGGTTATGCCTCGCTGCAGGACGAGCTCCTGTCCCCCGCCTCCCTGCACTACACGCTGCCCTCCCCACTGCGTGCAGACCAGTACTGGCACGAGGTGACCGTCCTGGACGCCATGCCCTTGGCCCCCACTGAGCCGGACGCCCTGCTGGAGCTGTCCGACATGCAGGTGTGGTCTGCGGGGCTCACCCCCTCACTGGTGACCGCCGAAGACTCCTCCCTGGAGTGCAGCAAGGCTGAGGACTCGGATGCCATGAGCGAAGGCCGTTTCCCAGGGCTGCTGCTGGATGACACCCACGCCCCGGACCAGCTGGGCTCGCTGGATCTGGCTGAGGACGACACAGTGGATTCAGATGCTATGAATGGCCTGATCGACCTGCTGGAGCAGGAGGAAGGGCAGGGGTCAGAGGAGAAGCTGCCAGCGTGTGAGCACCAGGCCGGGCTGGCGGGGGAGCGGGGCTCGGAGGATGAAGTCTCTTTTGTTGCAGGCCAGCAGAGGGTGCAGGCCAGGATCCTGGAGTCGCCCACTGTGAGCTGGGTTGCAGAGAGGAGCACGGCCAGGTAATGCTTCCTGGCCAGGTTGCTTGGAGGGCAGGCCCATGGGGCATAGGGCAGGGCAGCCCTGTCTATGCTGGGCCAGGGGGAGGGTGGATCAGCCAGGGGGTGCCCATTGCACTGGGGATGGCCATGGGGCTCTTGCCTTCCGGGAGATGCGCTCTGCTGGGGCTGCCCTGCCATAGTGCCTGGGCACGAAGGGCCCAGCTCCCTGCCCCACTCCGGTGCCCTCCCCCTGCGGCCATGCCCAGGCAGGGCCCAGCCGCCCAGGGCCTCGCTGGAGGATGTTCCGTGGCTAGCTCGGGCACCGCAGTGCAAACGGGGCTGGTCAGGGTGGGTGGGCAGAGCAAGGGGCTGGGCCCACAGGTGGGGCAGCAGGCTGGGGGGTTGAAACTGACCCTCTCTCTCTGTCCTTGTTCCTCTCTGCTGCCCAGGCTGAGGGACTGGAATGCAGAAGGCTCCTTTGTCTCCTGCCTGCAGGACCTGCCTGCGGGCTCCTGGCAGGAGGGGGGCCCCAGAAGCCCCCC